CTGGGTTGTAATGTGGAGTTGGTCTACCTCAAGTTGTGAGTGCAGCTTCCTTTTCACTATATTGAAGAGCTGGGTAACTAGTTGTTTCTCAGTTAGTGTGGATGTAGGTCTTCTGTCCATCCATAGTTCCCTCAGATATTTCATATATCCCCTCTCATTAGGTCTACTGTTATAGTAGCATTCCATCAATTCCAAGTTCTCTTGTCTCATCGATGTATGGTTTGTTCCAGTAGCCCACTTATCATCAGATGCTAGTTCCCCAACATCTGACATGGACCTTGTTAATCTGGGTGATGTCCAAGCCAGCATGACTCTCTTAGTTCGTGTCACTCTCATATTTGAAGTAGGCAGGTGAAGCGTCAGGGGATCTTTGCCCAAGGACCTCTACTGGTAAGGTAGGTACCAGCTGGGATTTGAACCCCGGTCTCCTGCATCAAAGGCAGTGCTCTAACCACTATGCTATCCAGCCTCATTGAATATATACATTCTGATTAATCTGAGCAGTCATTACTAGAGAAAGGAATTTGGTCTTACTGCTTCCCTTCTTATGTTATCCATATTTATTTATTTACTTGATGTGTTTATAATTTTTTTTTTATTGAAAAGGTTTTAGGCAAGTTGCAGAGAATTAATAAGCCTGAAAGATAAAACTTGGTAAACCTGGCAAACAACAAGCAAAGAATTCCCAGTCCTATCGGAACAAGATATGAAAAACCCTAGGTCAAATTCCAAGATTTTTCTGAAAAAGCAAAGCTTAAGCCCACTTCTTGCATGATGGTATCTATACAATAACTGTGATAATGATTGTGATAAACAAATAAATGTAAATGTATATTATTTCAGTGAAGCAGTGACTGAATGAAAGCAGTGCTGCCTAGGATATTTTTTCCATGGCAAATATAGGCCACTTCTGTATAACCCAATCTTCCCCAACATGTCATCCTCCAGGTTAATGGAGATTATAGTTCCTAACCAAATCAACCAGTGCTGGCTGAGAATTTTGGGAGTTTTAATACCAGTAGAGCTGAGGGCACCATAACATGGAAGCCTATATGCAAAATGCCCCTTATATTTGATTCCAGAATGAAACAGGTAAGGATACTATTGCAAAATTTCTACTTCCAAAGAACAAAAATAAATTCAACGATTGAATCATATGATAAAAAAAGAAATGCTGTTTCATTGGTGGGAGGAAAATATCTCCAATACTTTCCCTTCATAACGTTTACTTTTTTGAGGGGTGGGGGATACCTGTGTTGCTTGATCATAGCGAAGTATGTTTTAAAAACAAGGAATGAGGAAAATAAAAATCTAAGGGGAAATTAATTTGACAAATGCCAGCTGTTCTCATATCTGTACCTGGCAATGTATTCAAAAACTAAGTAATCATTAGCTTATTATGTCATTCAGCAAATCTTTTTAATTGACAAGGAAATCCATCAGATATTAAGGCAGCAAGTAAGTCAGTCAACAGCCTTGTTGCAGATGACTCATGATTTTAGTTATTTTGTAAGAGGTATATGTTTTAGAATTCCTTTTGAAGATCAGCAGGATCCTGGACCTGTTTCTTGTTGCTGCAATGTCACTTGTGATCACAACAATATTTATGGCTCCCTAATTAATGGAAATTAAAAATTAGGTATTGAACTGGGTTTCCTAACATTATGGCATATGTTCATCTAAATA